AGCGCCGGCCGCGCCGTTGCTGTGGCAGCACTGGAATGGCGGCGGCGCCTGCGGGGCCATGGTGCACAGTGAGTGTCGGGGAGCGCCTGCCCTCCTCTGCGGGACGGGCCCCGCACCCTGCACGTCTCCTTCGTGTCCTCAGAAGGGCAACAAAGCTGGGGAAGGGGCTGCAGCACAAGTCTGATGAGGAGCGGCTGAGGGAGCTGGGGGTGCTCAGCTTGGAGGCTCAGGGAGACCTTACCATTATCTGCAACTCCGTGAAAGGAGGCTGTAGCCAGAGGGCGGTCGCCCTCTTCTGCCATGGGACAGGACGAGAGGAGATGGCCTCAAGTTGTGCCAGAAGTTTAGCTTAGATGTTGGGGAAAATTTGTTCATGGAAGGGGTTGTCAAGCAATAGATCAGGTTGAGCAGGGAGCTGGTGGAGTCAATACACGTGGAGTTATTTAAAACTCATGTAGATGTGACATTTAGGGGCATGGTTTTTTGGTGGATTTGGCAGTGCTGGGTTGTACTAGATGTACAACCCAGCACTGTTGGTTGTACTAGAAAACTTACAGGTGTTTTCCAATCTAAACAATTCTCTGATTCACGTTCCCTCCTGCTGCAGTTGTCTCCCTTGCCTATCGTACCCACAGTCCCCTGGCAGCCCCCTGCCCTCCTGCCTCCCTTGGATGACTGTCAGATTTTTCTCTTCCTTGGCAATAACCCCCCATTTTATCTCACCACGTGAACCACAGGGGTTCCTTTCCTCTCAAAACAGCCCCTGGGAGGGCCAGCAGCGGGGAGTGGGGTGGCCCAGGTCGGAGGCGACCCCTCCTTGTGTGGGGCAGCCCCTCCAAGGGGGGATGCTGGATAGGATGGCTTATATCTGAGCCCAGGTCTGTCAGATGTGGAAAAACCCCAAATGAAGTAAAATACTCTATACTGTTACTTATGAATTGATCATCTTTTCCAGATAAAGAAGTATGACCCAAAAGACTGAGTGCTCACACCTTTTACTCATGAAACAGGAGCTCCCTTCATCTGTGATTTGTCTTGTAATCTTTTTTGATTGTATATTTTCACTGGACTTCAGTCCTGTGCTGGGCTAAAACAGTGCTTTGGACAGGAACTCCTTCTCCCTGCAGGAAGCTGGCAGATGACTTCTTTGAGCAGGCGCTGCCTGAAGGAGAATGACTTTATCTCCTGAACAGCGCAACATGAATTTGAATCTTAAAGTAATGGTTGCATACTTCGCTTTTCTGAAATGCAGCTTCCCCCACCATCTCCTGATACACCTGCAGCTATCAATCTGCTTATTCTTTCAATATCTTTAATGCTATCCTTCATTTCTGCTTCCTTTTTTGAGTAAAACATAATTCTTGGAAGCCCTGGCATTAGAACTTCAAGACCTGTTCTCTCCACTTGGTTGATGCCATTCCTCATTCCCTCCTGTGTTCATGGGAACCTGGGAGTAGCTGTGATCTCTCAGGTTGCTACTCCAGTGTCCCATTACTGCACACAATGCCAGAAAATCTGGTTAATGAACTTTTTAGTGAGTTCAGTGTGTTTGTCAATGTCCTGGAGATGCTGTTATTTAAAATTCTGTTTAATATTTGTTTTCTCTTGTAAGCTTGTTTCCCCTCATTCCTCTTAAATGAACTAGATATTACACAATATGTCAAATATTCAGGCAGTTCCCTACAACAGGATCTCAAATTAGGTTTCTAAAGCTTTTCTGTAGCTTCTATTGGGAATGATTGTCTATGCTTTGCCAATTATCTGTTAATGAAAGTGGACAATTTTGCAGAATTACTGCAAAAATAATTTCAATTTTCGTCAGCAAGTGGAAATTGGGCTGTAATTAAGCTGTCAGGAATTGTTTTTATGCCTTCTTTTTGTATAAAGGTTATAGAGCATAATATTGCTACCAGTGTGTATGTATGCAGATTGTGGAGTATTGTTTTTCTACTCAAAATTACCTGATAATAGTGGCACTGAAAAATCTGCCACCAAACACAGTAGTAGCAGGCTTTTTTTTTTTCTTTTCCAGCAGCTTTGCCAAGTAACTGTCTAGAAATGTCAATGTTTTTTTATATTTATTGTGAAGACTAAAGTATTTAGTCATGATTATTGACTTTTTTCCCTCTTTTTTTTCTGTTACTTTAAATGAGTGGAAAGGAAAATGATTGTTCAGATGCAATAAACCTGCTCAATATGGTTAAAAGAGACAAAGACACCTTCCCCAACACGATTTATGTGCAGAGGGGTTCCCCCTTCAATCAATATCTGTATCTCCACATTTAATTTTATAAATTAATTCTGTCAGGTGAAACTCTGTTAAGCAGAAGGGAAATTTAAGCCTGGATATCTTTAAATAATGTAATACAAACACAACCAGTTTCACCCCTTTCCCAAAGACTGCAGGCAGAGGAGCTGTACAGACACATGTGAGTTTGGGCTGTATTGGTACAGTTTGCTGGTCACTGTGAATGTGTGCAGCCATCCCATGACCATTAATAAAACTGGATGATTTCACAAAACCTCCCTGACACAAAGAAGTGAAAGAGTACTTTTAATTAATGCATGGTAAGAACAGTTTGTTTTCACAGATCTTTATATATTTTTTCTTTTTACTTATTTTTCTTCAGATTCTCTTTGGAAGGCTTTTTTGTCTTTTTTTTCAGCATTAAACACAATGAAAATACCTATGCTAACTTGATAAAACCCTGTGGTTTTCCTCCATACTTCACTGTAGTCCAGTGCTTGTCAAGGAGAAGAAAATGCAGGCACTTTTTGGTGCTGTGTGCTGAAAACAAACTTCTAGCTTCTGGCTCAGGAGTGAGCACTGGTTCTTATAGAATTTCTTTGCCTTTGTTATACAGAACATTTTCACTGTTTGAAAGACTGCCTGGCATTAAATATTACAACATGATAACTGAACCCAGGTCTCTGGTGGTTTTCAGCCACTGAAACTCCTTTTCTGGCTCTGATGAGCTGGTAGTGCCTAAGAAATACTAGGTATACATTTCATTCTAACATAAACGTTTGTAAGTGTGACTTAGTTATGGCATAAAAAATATCTGCCCACTTTCAGCATTTATCCTGCTTATTTCTGTGCATGCTGTGCTTGTGGAAGAATATGATGACACACTGTACTTTGCTTCCTTCTACCCCCCACTGCTGTCTGTGGTGTGAACATCTGGCATCTGGAAATAAAACAGCATAAAACACTCCACTACTTGCCTACATGAATCAATCTGCAACCCAAGCTATGCTGTAAATAGTGTCTGCTGGATTAATTTCTGCAAGGGTTGTATCATATTCTTATGGAAGACTCAGCAGTTTTCATATGGATCTTTGCAAATGTTACAGGTGACGTGATTGTGCTTCACAAAAGATGTTTACTGTGGTGGAGTGGGTCGAAGCTAATTGGTACTTGATATCTTGTTATCTTTTCTGGCAGATTTTATTTTTGTTGTCATTCCTACCAGGCTATTTGGTATGGTGGAACAAAATATTTTAATGATTTTATAATTTGCTCATAAGTCAGATGGCAGAAAATTATTACAGGGAAATATGACATCTAATGTTTCTTTCAGTCACTGAAGATCTTGTTAGAAGACGTGCAGAACATAACAACTGTGAAATTTTTTCACTGGAAGAAATCTCTTTACATCAGCAGGAAATAGAAAAGCTAGAGCATCTTGACAAATGGTGTCGAGATTTAAAAATTCTCTATCTTCAGAATAACCTAATTCCAAAAATTGGTAAGTCTTTTCTCTATATGTTTCTTTTAAAATGTATTCACATGCATAATTCTGAAATCAGGAAAAAAAAAAAGTAATCTGTTATACTTAAGGGAATGTTCTGCTAACAAGAGTTCCTTTCTTGGTTTCTTTATTAAATTTCTAAGAAGCTCAGAATTTTGCATGGGAAATTTTAAATTAAAAAGATACTACTGAGATACAGGTCATTAAAATATGAGTGTGATTTTATGAATTAAAATTTCAAAAAGCAGGATATAGTTCAAATATCCCATCTCCTGGCAAACAGAGAGACAAAGAGTTTACCATATTCCATGGACTCTGATGTCACAGGATTAGCTTTTCAGGCTCTTTTTAAAATTTTATTTTCACAAAATCATCTTTTTGTTAACAGTGAATTAATTTTTGTTGAGATAAAATACTGACTAGTGTGCGTGAACTAAACTTTCTATTTCGTATGCTTAATGGTCTTCCTGCACCGCAGGAGAAGATAAAATTTCACATGGTCTGATTTTGTTCCATATTGGAAAATGAGACATCAAGCCTTGGGCTGGAAAAGCTTAGATTCTACACATGTTGTCTGGATGAACAACGAAAAGTTGCAAATGTTCAGAAATTATATTACTATATCTCTTTGAGTTCCTTAACAGGAAGAAGAAAAATACTAAGGTTTTAGGAGGAAATTCTGTGCTCTGAACTTGTAGGCAAATGCTGTAAGTTTTCTTGAGGAAAAACTTATCAGGTGATCAGGAAGCTCTATCTCTACTGATAACATATGCATTTCCTAAAGTGGAGGAATCATCTCCCAGAAAGAACAAGTTTTTTTTAACATGCTTTGTGCTTCTTTACCCCATCAAAAGAGGGACTAAAATGAGTTGGTTTTCTCTCTGTTAATGTGTCCTTAATAAGGCACAAGATACTATCTTGTGGTTTTTCTGTCAACACTCAGGCCTCCTTCAGGTTAGCACAGGATACCATATTCAGATTGTTGCTTTTTGAAGACAAAATTTTTTCAGCAATTTCATTTTTGAGACAAGCAATTTTTATGTTACCATAATATAACTGCAGGAGTTGAAAAAGTATGCAACTTGGTGATTCATATATTATTCTATAATGTGACAGCTTTCCAGCGTAATATCTTAATAACAAATGAAAAAAAAACAACCCCAAAACAAAAAAACAACCAAAACAAACACCACCAACCCCTCCTGACACTATGGTGGTGACCAAAAACGTTGTCAACAGGGGCTGTGTTCCAAAGTATTGAAGTGCAGAAATTATTCTTCCAGGGGGTTGCAGCATGAGCTTGCAGAGGATACAGCAGTTCCAAGCGTGCTCTGAAGATCATAGCAAAATGGTTTATATTGGCTCTGTTGGGCTGTGTATTAACACAAACCTTGATGCAGCTTCAGGGTCAGCCCTCCCCATGAGCAGGCAGGGGCTTGTCAGGCATCCACAGCATGCACGAGTGGTACCACTGGCTGTCACATCATCATGTGCACAAACACTGCTGTTACAGAAACACTGCAGCAAAAACAAAACTAAGCTGCACAAGTTCTTGCTGAGAAACTGATGTCATCATTTGTTTGTGAATTTTGTAGAAAATACCTCTCCAAGTTCTTAGTAAACTGTGGTAGGATTTGTGTCACTGAATTTGTAGATGTGTCATGTTTCCCAAGATGGAATGTTCCACTATGTTTTTTCAGCCATTCCTCTTGAATTATATACATGTTTTATGGGTTTGTGATAAAAATGTGTTTGTAACTTTCCTTATTTCTTTTTGCTTTTTTTATTTTGCATTTTCAGAAAAGTTTTTTGTTTTGTCTTTTTATTAACATTAAAATTTTAATATCCATTAATGTGGTACTCTGATTTGTCCTTCCTACTTTTCTGCTTCATTGTTGTTTTCAAGTAAAATAAGCAAGTGAAACCATAATGTTCTTTCCAGTGCTGAAAACTGAAATAATCCATCTATGTTTTGTTACAGAAAATGTGGGCAAACTAAAGAAGCTGGAATATTTAAATGTGGCTTTGAACAACATTGAAAGAGTTGAAAATCTGGAAGGTGAGATTTTGAAAAATCCATTTTGCCTTTTCATATTAGAACACTTAAGTTGTGAAATGGTGGAAGCCAGTAAGCGTGCCCAACTGTGAGGGTTTTTGTGGATACTTAGAGGATCCTTGGGTTCAGGGTTTCAATAAACGTTTCTTTCTAGCAAGTAATTCCTACTGCTGATTTTTTTCTCATTGAACTTTTCTAAATGTCTCTGGGTCACATTTGATCTTCAGGAATCAAATGTCACACACAAGAAGGCTCTGTGCTCAGTGCAGGTTGCATTGAGGGTCTGTGTTTCTTTAAAAGAGGTTTTTAGAGGATTTTTTTCTCTTTTGTTGCTTAAAATCCTGTCTGTTTTATCTGTGCTTAATCCTTTATCCTGTCACTTTTGCACATTTCATGTGCAAAATATGGCATTTTCCAAGATTAAAATCTAAGACTTGGCACAACCCATAAACACATTCCATATTACTTGAATGATTTATGACTTGATTGTTTTCTGTTTCTCAGTTCTGATTAGGCCAGCTGCTGTATCTTTAACATACCCACCTTGACAAAGGAAAAATTAAAAAAAAAAAAACCAAATAAACTGGTTGGTTGGCTGGTTGGCTGGTTGTGTGTGTGTGTGTTTTGATTTGGTTTTGTTTTGTTTTTCTTTTGTTTGTTTAATTGGGTGGTTGGTTTATTTTGTATTTTTAAGCCTGAAAGCTGGTTCAAGAGGATGGCTTAAATAAAAAGCAAGCAAATGGTCTAAACACAAATTTGAAAAAGTTGAAGTAGGTAGTTATTACATATTTGGGAATTCGTTGAGAAAGTCGCATTTGTTTTCGTGCCACTAAATTTTAAGTTCATCTGTCAGGCTGCATTATTTATTACTGTGATTTGTCATTTACTTAGGAATTACAACCTTTGAGGTTGGACCTTGCATAAATTTGGGTTATTTAAATTCCCTAATAAATTGTTCTATGTTGTTTACTTTCTTAACAGCTTAACTGTTCATAAAACTTAGCAAATTGATCAGGAAAGGAAAGTGATTATAGTGACGTGAATCAAAGCTGAGCTTCCTCCCAGCTAAACTTTTTACTCTTAAGAGTCAAGGTTGTGGTTCATGCACACATTATAATGAAAAGAGAGGCTGATAAATTAAAAAAAATAAATTTTCCAGAGCATTTTGTTGCCTAATTTGGAGCTTCTGTTTATAATGAATTGTTTTAGTACAAACACTTTCTCACTGGTATTTGCAATTTAACCAAAGATAAAGTATTTACAATGACAGCTGAGTCCACAAAGTGAAGAATGTAACTTGCAGTGAGTTTTTGGGAAATCTTATCTTGGTACTTGAATAATATTACCAGAGATTAACTATACTCAGAACTGAAACTCCTAATCGATCTTGCTGTCCTTAAGCAATTGGATTGGATTTTAGCCATATGATTGAGACTTAGCTGAGAAGAAATATCAAGGCAAACAGACTGTAAAAATAAAATCCAGCTTATGTGAAAATTAAATATTTAATAGTTCATCTGTAAATGTCCTCAAAGTTTTGATACTGATAAAACCAGTAATGTTACGGTATTTTGTATTTTATTGAGTTTGTTTTATTCCTGTAAATATTGTAAGCTCATAAACTTTAGCTGTGAGTCGCTCTTTCACTCAGAAAGAGTCTTGGAAAAGATGTGTTCTGATAGAATGAAATCAGTTTACAGAACACAAATGGAGACAGTTTTATATCCACGTGTGTACATGTGTCTATGTATATCATGTACATTTATGTTATGGACAAATTGAATTAAGGTTTCTTTCAAACAGGCTGTGAAGACTTGAAGAAACTTGACCTGACCGCAAATTTCATTGGTGAACTCTCCAGTATTGAATCCCTAAAATGCAATATTCATCTGAAGGAGTTGTTTCTAATGGGTAACCCATGTACTGAATTTGAAGGTTATAGACAGTTTGTAGTGGCAACTCTTCATCAATTAAAAGTAAGATTTTAAAACTTAAATTTAAATCCAAATAAAGCATGAGTACTGTTGACTGAAAATACTTATCCTAAACAAGATAAACACCTGTACTTGGAAAGCTAATAGACTTTTTCTTAATGTTCACAGGAAATTAAATTATATTCCAAAGAATGAAATACTTCAATAAATAATATGATAATTATTGGTTCTATTCTCATGGAACCACAATTATTCATTAACTTTCCTGTCATCTTCATTGGAGATTCTTAAACAAAGGTTTTTTTGTTTTGGTTTGGTTTTTTTTTCCAAATAAATGTATTGTACATTTCTGGCACTTTTTTTCTTGTGGTTGTTATATACAATGTATTTTTAAATTATTAACATGATCGCAGAAAGTTAGTGGGTTGCTGGTACCATTCCAACAATATGTACTAAACCTGTAGTGCAAGACAGTAAAAAAATGCAAGTTGGTATAAAATTGCACTACACTGCATTGGCTGTAAATAGATACTTAGAGATTGTGGTTTTGTGCTGTGGCTGAACTGATGTAACTATTTCCTGTCAATGAAACAGTCTCAGGCCTGAAATATGTTCTCACAATTTTCCTCAGAGGAGCACAGGCACTGCTTAACTTATTAAGAGTAGACTTAACTTACTCAGTTGGCAGTAAACTTACACATCAAAAGAAATAATTTTGGGCTGAATCAAAGTCAGACAAAGACCAGAAATGTCTGAAGGGACTCTCTGTACTGTATAGTCTAAGACTAATTAAAATTCTTGGAAAACGCTAAAAGCAGATCTTAGACACACAAAACCATTTTCAGATCTGAATAGCAAGTTACTGTTAATTCCTTGTAATAAAGCATAACTTACATAGTGCTATTGATATGTGAAAGATGCATTTCTAATTATAAGAGAACTTTATCAAAATTAAACTAGAGTCTAATAGATTTATTGATTTGGATATGTTTATAATATCTCATATATTTATATTGATACTTTTTCCCCTTTGGGAAGTATTTGGATAGTAAAGAAATAGAACGTTCGGAGAGGATTAAAGCACTTCAAAACTATCCGGAGGTGAAAAGGAAAATCAGAGAACAGGAACAAACTTACCTTCTCAGGAGGGCCAGAGAAAAGGAAGAGGCTCAAAGAAGGATGCAAGAAAGAAAGGATGAGAAACAGAAACAAATGGACTCTAAGCTTGGATTTGACAGGTAACTGCAACAACAACAACACTTTGTGTGTAAATGTTATTATTTTCTTTTTTTTATTCACAAGTTTGTCTTTTTTCATTAAAGAGTTCATATAATTCCACTTATATATTTTTGTTCATCTTTGTTGTTGATTCAATCAAGCAGAGTTATTTCTCCTCATGCATGTTATCTCTGATGAAAAATATAATTAGTTAAAAACATATTTTATTACTGACCTGCAGACAGTTCAATAGAGTTTTTTCTTCCAAAACTCCAAGGTAAGTTGTCTGGGTGCCAAAGTAGTGTAATTAATAGTTCCTTTCAGGAGTACAGCTGGAAATTGTTATATAAGGTAAAGCAGGCATTCCAGAGAAAGCAGCTGTTCAACTATAATTGCTTTTGCCTTAGCATTAAAACATCTGAAGATCGAAATGGAATATTTCAGGCCTTTTGCTGATTCTCCTACTTCTTCCACTTCACGTCACTGATACTATCTATCCTAGCCAGCAGGATTTTTGTCTGGGGTTCATCTTCTACTGTGCTTGCCACCCATCTTGTTTTTAATCAAATAGAAACTGTGTCATGAAGCTGCCTGCAGAACTGTGTCCTCATAGATCACACCTGTATCATAAATTCCGTTTTCTGTCTGTATTGATAGAGATCTACAGAAGCTTAGAGCTAGGGAGGAAAAATTATTCAGGTGTTAAGATTGAATTTGAGGAGATGCTCATTGCTACCTTATAAATTTCTAATCTGTTGCTGCCTGATACTGGGAATTCTTAAACAGCACATGGACTGAAGATTTTCTCTCACCTGAAAGTTGTGAGGGTATCTGAAAATTCTTTTTCTGAAATTAAATCTGTTGAACTATCTCTCAGGGTTTTCAGTGGTTTAGGTATAGGCATACTATCACTCCATAGTCAGGTAAATGAAAAACATTACGTCAGAATATGCTTTGTTGATTGACAGAAGAAGCAGAGCAGAGAATGTTCTCCAAATATATAAGATACCATTCTTGGTAGGAATTGTACAGTTATTACTGGGTAGAAAAAATATTATTGTAGTAATATATTAGCTAGTTACTTTTCCTTCATTTCATTGGGATAATATTTCTGTGATCTTGTACAGCCCAGACTCCTTACAGGGAAAACCCAATCATGCAGAAGGTGATGGACAGCAGGAAGGATGCAGAGCAGTTGAAAATGATGATGAAGACAGAAAATTTTGGGAGGAGCCTACACCATACACTCCAGAATCTAGATTAGAAACTCACAGATACATTGAAGAAAAACGAAGAGCTAAAGACAATATAAGGTACTTTTTTTTTTAGTATCTTTGATGAATTGAAGAAGGAGAAATTTTCAAAGGTACAGAGAACAAGACAAGTGATTGCGTGACATTAATTATTACTGAGAACTGACAGCTTAAATCCTTGTTGCTTGTTAAAATAGGCTTATTCAGTCCAAACTAAATATTATTCAGATTGTTCATTTTGTTTTCGTTCATTTTCCGAACTTAATTTAGGTACTCCTTATTTTATTTTTCCTCAAAGTTTTAAAATATAGTTTGTTTTTTTAACTTCATTTTATGGAGTTTAGAAGTTTCACTTTTTTTGCAGCTAACTGTTTTGTGTAGTTCAACATTTAACATTCTGCTGAAAACGTTTATCCATAGTGCAGACTGCATTATGTAAATTCCATACAGGCCATGCTACAAGTGTTTTGCACAAGTGGAATTTCAGGCACTTTTTCCGTGTAACTGAGAAATTTTTTCTCATACTTGATCAAAGGTATTAGTCACGAGTAATAAGATTATTTCTTTTATCTGTGCTATTTGACATGGTCAATCTGAAGAAGTTTGGTCACTGAAAAGCCTTTAAAACTTTATAAATTTGTTACTGGTTTTGCTGAACATTCAAAATATATTCAGATACTACCAAAAAAGCCCCAGTATTTTATTGCTGCTGTCAGTTCCACAGACATTGTAAACAATGTATTTTTGTTTACAATGTCTTTTTCTTTTTTTATTTCTTCCTCTCTTTTGCTTATATAAAACAATTTGTGCCAGAGATTTTTTTAGCTGTTCTTTTTAAGGACTTGCTTTTTACAATTTTTGTCAAGGCTAAGTATTGAAAAAGCCAGTCCTAGGGAAGTCTCCAGGAAATCTGGAAATGTGCATAACTTGTTGCTATTATTAATTCAAGTTCTAGCACTTTCCTGGAAGAACTACTGTGAAACTCAGATTCTAGCCAGTTCGAGTTTTGCTATGTTTGGAAATGCCTTGCTCTAGTCAAAAGCAAATGTGTTCCAAATGCTTCCCTTTGAAGATTCAAGGACAATCCAAATAGTGTTATAATAAAGACAGAATAGTTGATTTCTGGATTTTTCTGAATTTCCAAGGCATTCAAAGGGTTTAAAAATCCTTTCATGGCTCATTTTGATTTGGTGTTGAGAAAGTTTCACGGTATCTCCTTCACATGGTTCACATGAATAGACAATTTCATCTGGGAACAGATTATTAAAAGCTAACAGGTGGTAGAATATAATTGGTGAGGTGTTTCTGAGAACATCTTTAGAGCAGAGTGGTGGTTCTTCACTTTGCATTTAAGTGTCAAGGAATTCAGGTGTGGAGACTGACAGCCCACAAATCCCACATGAAAGCTGATATTATATATTATATATATGTAATATGTATATATATTATATATGTAATATATATTATATTACAGAATAGTGTTTAACATTTGGATAATTGTCTTTCTTAAACAGAAACTGGTTTTATGTAGTCATTCCATTACGTCTACTCAAGTATTTTTATTTCTTTTTCAAATTCATTGTATATATAGACCAAATTTATTTTTATGGATTTTTTTCCCCCAGCGTGTTCTAAATCTATAATATTTTATGTCTATCATTAGTAATTTACATCTGATATTCTCTTAATCTTGAACTTATAGTAAGAAATAGGTTCAGGAACAAAAAAGAAGCAATGCATTGTTGTTGGGGTTTTTTTGAGAAATATTCTCCCTTTTAATATGCTGGCTGAAGTGGCCATACCCACTATATCAACCAGCTGAAGAGTGGATTAATGCAACATGACAATTACACTGCTGTATTTTTAAAGAAAACTCCATATTTTTACTTAGGTGCAAGCTGACTTTTCTTTTCATGTTACTAAGATTCCTTGCTCTTACTTCCTTTGCTCATGATCTAAACATTTAAATAGAAAATACCAGTATTAAAAGTCTTAATGATCTTGCTGTGATCTACTTTGTTTGGACAGATAAACTGATGTAGTTGGTTTATGTACTAACTGGAAGTCAGATATAGTCTAATTCCTAATAGCTGGAAATGGATAGCGAGTATTGAAGTAATATAAAAGTACATCATCAATACATCAAGAATATGTATTGCATTTTTTGAACAAAGAACACAACAAAAAATATAATATATGCACCAACAAATTATATGTCTGCCCTTTGGTCCTACTGTATCCTATTTGATGCTGCTTGTAATCTTTTGACCATTAAAATTCTTTTTGGTAGAGCAAAATAGTGACTGGGAGACAGATGCTGTTTGGAGGTAGGCCAAGCACTTGTTCTGTGGGAGTAATCAAGTAAGCACAAATAAAAATTCTTTAGAATTGCTTGACCATACATCAAGCCAATTATCAGTGGCAACACCTCGTGATGAGTTTCACCATTCCTAACTAGAAAAATGTCCCATTTCTTACATTTAAGGCATCCCTGGTTTTCTTGTGGTATACCAGATAATTTGATAGATTTCTGTTTGATAATGGGCATGGTGACATGCAGAAGAAGTTACTGTCCATGTAGTATGTGGCTTTATAAATTATTTGCTCATCTTTAGATGGTGTTCTTAATGTGCAATTGGATCTGTGATGCAATCTGTTTTGTTCCTGAAATAAATTGTAGCCTTAACATCAAATACCAAATAATTCTTACCGTTTGCCATCCTCTTCTTTATTTTTGCTACTGAAAATAATAATGCAGCTTTTTAATGATTAACCATAAACAATTTTTCTTTCTGTTTTGGTAAGGGAATCAAAAAAGAGGGAGAAGACTTCTTGGACACTGGTCACTGCAGAAGGAAAAGTTCTGAATGTGAATGTGCCTAAGTATGTACGGTTAAGAGGTTAAATAGTCTAATCTCTCTGTAGTTGATTTGAGCAACTATTTCAATATATGTGACAATCCAAAAATAAGAGGGCTGAGAAATTCTTGTTGCAGTATTATATTCCTTGTGGGAAAACTGTATTCTAAATTTATAGTCTGGTGCTGGAAAAAGAATCAATTTTTATTAAGTGTTCAAGATTGTTTAATTTAACATCTTTATCTTTAAAGACTGAAGAACTTGTATTTCTGTAAAAGGTATAAGATATTTTAGTTTTTTCCCTTCTATAGTAAGGCTTTTTCTTGGAGCATCTTGCTAATAGTGTAAAGTTTAACTGTTGAAGATAAATGTGTATGAGAAGCCACTTTAACTGTGGAAAAATACATCCCAGTAATATTTCTGGACAAAATCATTCTGTCCTCTGGTGACAGGTATAAATCTGGGAATTGGGAAGGATAATCAACCTCTGTGGCAAGAGGCCCTGTGACCCTGAGTGGTGTCCAGCAACAGAGGAAGGGGATACATGGCAGTGTCTTGTGTTTTACTATTGACCATGGCACTTGAGTTTTTGGGTGTTTTGGAGTGAGTTTCCAGGGATACCAGCCATTGATTTTACTTGAACCAAACCTTCATTTTCTAAGGGAAAGCAGAATACTAAGTGCAAACATTATTTCCTCATAAACAGCTCCCCATAGGGCTTCCTGCAGGAGACTGCAATGGGAAAGTGGCCACTTTCTGCTGTCCTCTGAAGAAGTTTTCCCATTTATGACCAATTTAGCTGCCAAACCAAATCTATGAACATGCTTATCATTAGCATAAAGACTGCTTTCTAAATCTTGGAAATTTAGAAATGCTTGCAAATTCAAGGAATTATATGTATGCACAATTTTCAGTAGAATAGAGAGAATTAAAAGTAGTGGAAGAGTTTAGTGTAATGTTTTGCCTGTACCAGGAGATACTTTCCATTGTATTGATGTACTTTTTTCAGTAAAAATGTGTTGACTGGAAAAAAAAACTGTATAATTTTCTATTTCAAAAAAGACAAGCCTTAAATCTTGTGTTAATAGAAGTTGACAATGCCTCTAAAACACAGAGACATTTAGACTAAATCTCTAGCTATCTTTTTTAGAAGAAACAGGGTTCACTGTTAGTAGCATTGCTGTTTGTGTCACCCAAGTTTTCTGAATTTAGTCTGTGGATGTGCCCACATAAAGCCAGACCAATGAGCATTTTTTGTCTTGGCTTCAACAAGAATGTCACAGCTGTTCAGTGCAATCTGGCAGTGTATTGGAGAGACATAAAGAGAGAGATACAAGTAAGCAGATGGTGTTCTCCAAAGTTTTTGCTTCAACATGGAAGTCTCCTATCCATAAAAATGTCCAAGCTTCTCTGATGTTCTTTTGGAAAGTTAGCAAGAGGAATAGCTGCTTGCTGCTGAGGGCAGACTATTTCTCCAGTTCTAATTAAGATTCTTCCTAGAAAATGTTATAATTCTGTCCTCTTGTTCACCCTTCATGTTTTAGTGGGTTCTCAAAAGTAGTGATGCAGGAAGACAAAAAGCCTGATCCGGAAGTAAAGCTGTTTTGTATTCTTTGCACTTTTCCGTTAAAAAATACTTGCAAACTACAACCTCGTTAAACCTTCTTGCAAATTGTCTGTATCAGAATATAGGAGAGCAAAGATTGAAAAGTGTAACTGGAAAATACTCTTATTGCTGAAAAAATTTATCATCTAATCTGTTAACATTTGAGCATCTTTCCACTACCTGAACCAAATTTATCTAAATATTTTAATGTCACTGAAATAGCCCAGATAAATTATATTAAGCAAAATACTTTAATTTTATACTAATAACTAATTTATCAAAAACTTCTTATTTGTAGGTAATTTCATTCTGGATTTTTTTTCTCTGCTTTCATACATGGGAAATGTTTGAGTATGTGAGCAGAACTTGTAAGTCTAGACTAGATCTTACAGTTGTAGAAATAGATGGCATCAATTTATAACTGTTGACATTCATTCTCAATTTTAAGAACACAACAACACATCACAAACACTCTGCTAATACAATCTACAGTCTCATTTTCAACAAATATAAAGCTTATAGAATCAAGGGTATTTTACAAATCATGTTTTACTTTGGAAATGCATAGATATTTATACTTGGGGAAAATTATTTGCTATGAACAAAAGTGCATTTTTTAAAACATACCATAAGATTAGAATTACACAGTTCTGTGTTTTTCATGCATTTTGGAACTGTTTTTTTCTATGAAGATGTAATAGAGCAGACAGGTTTCACCAGCAGATGTCTCTCGTTCTGCATTGTCAGAATGAGCTTAATTTTAACTGACCTTCAGCAGAGGATTTTTTTTCTTTTTCTTGTGATTTGAGTAGGGAGGACAGAAAATAAATGTAAGAATGACCTTGGCTCAAATGCCAGTTTTTTTTTTCTGTTCATGGGGCAAATTGCAACTGTTTCTAAATAATGGCATGACATAATTGTCTAAATGGTGTTTGCCTTCATCTAAAATTGCTAACATTTGAACTATGCTGTAATGTTTGCTTATTCACTCCAGTAGTATTTATCCTGGAGATGTTTCTTGTCATTGTTATTAGGCTTCATTTCTCTTTGAAAGATGATGAAGAAAACAACCAGATCATCTTGGATCTCGCTGTTTACAGGTCAGGTCTTTTTTCCCCCCATAGTTTTTACCACTCATAAAATATAATACACAGTGTTTCAATTATTCTGCTCTCTCAAACGGGGACTTTTCAAGAAGAAAACAAATAATATAATGGATAGTGGAACCAATCTCAAAACCTGTGCCAAAGAAGTGAAGCTGAAGAAGCCAAAGGCCCTTCAGACTACTCTGTTAATCCTGAATGGAGACTGTGTCTGATAGTTGAAGTTCATGTGCTTATAGTTAAATTCTTCTCCCTGAGACAGAGTAGAGTAGCCTTGTCTTATTTTCCTTGATTAGTGGAAAGAGTCCATGCCTTGTGCCTATTCTTGAAACATACCAGGGCATTGCTTAGAAGAAATTTTGTTTAACCAGGCAAAATATTACAAGGAGATAGTACATATACTGCTAAGCCTTACAATGACCTTTTTCATTTTTCAGGAAGGGTCTGGAAAGCCACAAGTTTATCTATCTGTAATAGAAACTTGTTAAATAAAACTTGAACTAGTTTTAGTGCACAGAAATATTATTATTTCTGTGCTATATATTCTGTTTATCTTCTGTGCTTATTATTATAAGCCAGGTGTGCTTCTCTTGAAAGTCATTAATTTCCCTCAAAAGAGATTTGCTCTGTGTTTCTGATTTAAAAGATAGAGATCTCTTTCTGGAGCCTCAGAAAATCTATTCAGGTGCAATAAATCATTTAGGATCATTTAGGTTAGAAAAGACCTTCAAGATCATTAAGTCCAGCCTTTGACCCATCATGACCTTGTCAACTACACCACAGCATTAAGTGCCACATACACTCATTTCCTGAACGCTTTGGGACCCTAGGTAGTCCAGTAGTCCATATTTTAACAGTCTGTGCTCACTTGTAAGAAATGCAGACTAAAACATTTGAAAAAGTCACCTGTAAAATAATATTGTAAGATCAGGGGAATGGGAAATACATACTTGTGCATTCCCATGAGTCCCATCAAGTGTCACATAGTGAAGAGCAGAGGTAAAAGTGGAGCTTTTACAGGTCACATATTTCGTATGAAAGATTTAAAATTTCTGTCTTTTCTGGGAAGGGAAAGTATATCTGTTCATTGTTTTCCAGCAAATTCTGTACAAAAAAGAGAATTTTTGTTATAATTTTAGTAGTAAAACCTTTAGAAGGAAAAGTAGCAAAATATTTTCACAATTTTAAATAGTATGTAGGTTAATTTTCATATTAATGTAAAGCACTGAACTAACAGATGAAAGAACTTTTTGTTTTCCTCAAAGATTTTTAATTCTTGTTGTTATACAATAGCTGATGTCATAGGCTTGACTGAATTTAGACATTATTTTAAGTGACATTCGCAGGAAGATCATGGGATGTTTTTTCCCAAAACTTTAAATCCTAATAGCATTTTGAAAAAATTAATGACTGAAATTTAAGCTTGTTCTTTATAAACTATGAAATTTTGAAAGAGCTATATGGTCTATTGTAGATTGATTAATTTTTTTATATTTCATTTTGAAGATATTTGGACACTTCTTTACTTGATGTTGATGTGCAGCCAACTTACATACGAGTACTGGTGAAGGGAAAGGTTTGTGACTCCTTACTGCATCCAGTTCAAGTCAAGAGTTAATGTTTGCCATATTTATTCAGTGGACTCTGGATCTGACTTCTATAAGTTACCAGCCATTTGCATCTATGCAGAGAGAATGTTCTTTCAATACCAGCACATAAACTGTGGAAGTCCTATCCAGAAGATGTACAAAGCCTGAAATAAAATTTCACTTTTCTTCTCTCTTCTTATTCCCCCCACACAGTGTACCATAACTCACTTTAGAAGAGAGCTTCCTAGTTGCCCTAGGCTAGAATTTAGCAATTGCACAGACTGAAATTTATAGTTGACAGAAACCAATGGATGTATATTCTTTCCAAAGGGCATTTAAAACATCATTTAAGTTTTCTCTCTTCTTGGTGGTTTTAATTTTATCATCATTTAAGAAAAAAAATTCAAAGTACTTCCACAGTAAACCAAAATCCCTATTTTTAACCAAGCCAACTGCATAAACAAAACTTGAGATTGCTTAATTGCTTTACATCTAAATAGACTGGATAATCTTTCTCATTTAATTGCTAATATAAGTCAAGCATCATTTTATAACCTTCTTTAGAAATGCCACTTCAGGAATGGCAGCAATTCAGGAACATACATCTGACTCTACTTGTAAGCAAAAGCTATTTAGCATAATTTATTAGGTTTAGTAATAAATACCATACATAAAGTGAAAGCAGTGTCCTTAAAATCAAAATACGTGGTAGTGGTGGTTTTGTATTTGTTCTGTCCATGTGAAGGAAAGAAAAAATATATTTTAGCATGATATACTTCAATTCCATATTGTCTCATAGCCATTTCAGCTTGTGCTCCCTGAGGAAGTGAAGCCAGACAGCAGCTCTGCTAAAAGATCACAAACAACTGGTCATTTAGTTGTCACCATGCCAAAGGTATGTAAAATAGGAGATATCACACAAAGGTCCTTAAATGTTGTGAGTGCTTTGGGAATGTTTCTGAGTTACAGGTAGCATCTGGCTTGCTAAAGATATGCAGTCTAGCCTTTCCCATCAGAGCATATTTTCCAAAAAAGGAACATTGAATAAAGACAATTTAATTGCAGAGCTAAGCCTTGGTATTTAAAATCCCTCTAAAGGAACATAATGAAAATCAGTATTAATAGAAATTTGTATTTCCTTTACTTCAAACAAATCAGCTTTTAATATGCTAAAAGAGACTATGTAAAACATGAAAATGTTTAAGAAGATTTATAAATAGATATATATTTATAAAGAGATAAATAATGAAAAATGACAAACTACTTCTGTTTTTCACTTGTGAAATAATAAGAACAAGTCAGTTTATCAAAATTTCTGTGACACACATATGTATGAAGGTTACATATTTGTTCAAATAAAGGGATGATGCACTACTCTTGAGTTCTCATGTGTTTGGAAAAAGAGTTGCTTAATTCATTTTCCCTTCATGCTCTGCCTGGCTGGAAAGCATCCCCTGACCAGCTCTAGGTTGTGACAACACGGTGTTTCAGCTGAAACTGCTTGGACCAGACAAGGAACTGGAAGTTCTAGGGAGGTGGAGCTCCAGAGATGAGAATGGGTTATATGGTGGGGTTCTGGATGCTGAAGGAGAAGTTAATCAACTGCAATATCTTCTGCTGTTATGCCTTGGGATGGTTGGGTTGCTTTTAAGGCCTCTGTAGGACATCTTATACTTTTGGCTTTTGGAATACGGTAACCCCATCCAGGGATAGTTACAGTAAATAAACAATCTCTTGGTGCTCTAGCCTTACCCTTCTGGCTTTTAGGAAGTTTCTCTGTTGTGTAAGGGCAGGGGACATGTGAGTCCACCAGAACATATCGAATACAGCATTTCCTTCTAAAGGAAGAAGCTGTTTAGCTGAAATAGCTTCACCTGCTATATGGGGTCATTTTTGTCTCTTTGTTCTGATTTAATTCCAAGACTAGTTAGAGCATCTAGTAGCTCTAACTTCTGCCTTTTTCTGTTTGTGGTTATTACCTTCTACACTCCAGTCCCATACCATCTGTCTGTCCCTATGAGGACAGCCCTGCACCAAATCACAAACTGCCACTCTAGCATCAAACATGCATTTTTACCAAAAACTGTAAGAATACTGAAAATTGTACTTACTTGGTTAAGGTAGCTATTTTCTGAATGTACAAAATTCACTCAACTGAGAATTTATGTTTCCATAAATATGTTTGAAAATGAGGCCTTGACATTTGCCATTTTGGATAGTGTAATTTTCAAATGTATATGGATTCTTTTGTTTAATAGTTACTTTTCTTTAAGTACTGTCAGTTTTCTGTCCCATACCCTGCTTTTTTTACTCATACATCTTTGTAGTTCCTTTGTGGATGATCAATGCCTTAGAAAATGTAAATATTTCCAACTGTCTCTGGATATATATTAATTCTGCTGTCTGCCTATAAAATCATACCTAAATCAGCAAAATGAATATTCTCTCTTCATACTGTGATTGAAAAGTGCCATGTTCCATTATTAACTTTATATTTAAGCTACCTTGATATTTTAGCTACATGTACATATTTTGTCTAGCCTGAGGCTCTGGAGCATACTTTATCTCAGGATACATGATTCTCAGATGTTGTAAAACATGAGGAGAGAGAAGCACTATAGAATAACTGGCTGGATGTTCTCACCTTGGCTAAAACTGCTTGAGTATCTTGGACACAGTCAGAGGTGCATGAATGGAATGCTGCATGGTGTCTTTGTTGTCAGTGGATTCTGGAGAGCAGCTTTGCAGAAAAGCACCTGGGAGTCTTGGTTGCCACAAAGTTGAACATGAGTCAGCAATACCCTCTTCTGTCAAAGAACACCAGCTGTATCCTGAGCAGCAGGTGGAGGGAGGCCATCATCCCCCTCTGTTCAGCACTGGTGAGAGACACGTGGAGTGCTGTGTCCAGCGCTGGGCTCCCCAGTGCAAGAGAGGCGTGGACATATGGGAGAGAATCCAGCAAACGGCCACAAAGATGATCAAGGAACTGGAGCACCTCTCCTATGGGGAAAGGCTGAGAGAGCTGGGACTGTCCAGCCTGGAGAAGGCTCAAGAGGATCTTATCAATACACGGAAATACCTAAAGGGAGAGTGCAAAGAGTCAGAGCCAGGCTCTTTTCAGTGGTGCCCAGTGACAGCACCAGAGACAGTGGGCGCAGACTGAAATGCAGGAGTTCCCTCTGACGACCAGGAAACTCTTGCTGTGAGGATGACTAGGTGCCTGCACAGGTCACCCAGGGAGGTTGTGAATCCTCTGTCTCAGGAAATATTTTAAAGCCAGCTGGGTGTGGTCCAGTGGGCTCAAGTGGGCCTTGCCTGAGCAGGGGGCTTGGACGAGAATACCTCCACAAGTCCCTGCCAATCTCCAGCATTCTGTGATCCTGTGAACTTCATGGATTTGCTGACCAAAGATGGATCTGTGTTACTTCACTGTAATTGCATGTAACAGATACTAACCTATTGTTCACTGTTCTTTATTAGTCACAGAATCTTTTCTCTTCCCTTAGCACTGAAACAGAGTACTCAGTTTAAATTTTGTGGGCATAGATCCTCTTCAGATGATCTCAATCCATAGTTATTAATGGGATGTAATATAGGAAGAAAGGTAAATGAATAATGATTGACAACAGGAAGGCAAATAGATATTTTTCTTGCAAAATATTGTGGCTGATTTTATCAATGCTTGAGAATACTAGTTGGAGATCACCAACTTAATGGGAATTCTTCTTAGTAAGATAAATGGAAGGCCAGAATAAATTCAGTCTCTTTCAGGCTGTATCAGTGACAAGACAAGCTTAATGACTATATTGCACTGTATTATATCCTTTTGTTCCTAAAAAACAGTTACCAAAATAATATTTGTTTATCAACTAGGTAAATGGCCTAGCACATTCCTTACATAACTGAAATGTTGTCCAGTAATGTAGAAATAGTCTCCTATAATAAGCTTCATGCAATAATATCCTAAAAATATCTCCCCTTCTCAGTAACACAGAAAAAACAGAAATCTATCTGAATTCTAAATGTTTTTCACCTGTTTTAGTGAGCTTCTGATCAGGTTTATAAACCTTTAACCATTCATCTTCCAGCCTGTTCATAATTCCCTAATCCTTGAAAAAAAAAAACCAAAAACTCTTTCCTTGACTCTCTGATGACCTTGCCACACCACAGATGTTGCAGATAGTAAATTCCACATCAAATAAAAGAAAGGAATAATTCTCACATTCATTTCTAGAACCATATTTTTAACTATATTACTTGCTACACAACAAATTACGGCAGAATGGATGCCTTTCTAAGGTAGTGTTTACCAACATTTTTTGGAAGGTCGTCAGAAGAAACTGAAGGACACAATGTTCAGTGAAATAATGTAGTGACATTTTAAAAGTGTAGTGTTTATACTGCAATAATCCTTTGTATGGAGATTTTGCATGAGTAAGGTGTTGATAATGACGACATTGTACATGCCTCATGTTCTGGGAAAAATATTTGTGACATGAATCTTCTCAGATTTTGAATCTCTGTGCTCTGGCAGCATCATCTTTGCAGATGATGCAGGAAAATGAAAAACTGGGAGATTCTTTAATAGACTTTGACTAAAATTAGCATATTAAATAATATGATAAGCAAATTATTTCATAAAATGTCATCAGTAGATTACAGCAACATTTTAATTACTGCCTGAGTAAAAGCATCAAACCCCAGTGTTATTAACAAGCATGTTACATTTAGGTTTCTGAGACATTCTTTGTCATGTTTTAAAACTTCATTTTTCTTAATTTAGTGAGTCAGAGAGAAAAATTTGGACTTTTGATTAATTTTTCATTATATTACCTGTCACAAATGAATGCTGACAGCTGTTTATTGCCTGGGCTTTCAAAAGTGATTAGAAATTTAAAGATCAGTAAGAGTTAGATTCCTTTATTAATCTAAAAATAGGTGTGGTGTGTATTGTGCATGTCAGTGCTATTTGATAGAATTATTTATATAATTCTCACTTATCTAGGTATGGTAAATACAGTAATATTTCATTACCATCAAAGGCATGTGGAGGCACAGCTGTGGAACCCTAGAAATCTAATAATCCTTCAGCGTAAGTGTGTTTCCTGGAAAGCCTGTTACTCAGAGGAATTCCCATTGTAGAATAATAAAGCCATTGCAGGAAAGAAAAGGCGGACAGAAAATAGGGCTTTCACATATTCCTTCTGTTTTCTCAAATACACTCCAGATTTTATTTAAAACCTCTATATCTAGAATCATTTGATAATGATCTTAAAAGGGTGCATTTCCTGTTTTCTAATTAATCACAGAATCGTAGGGTATGCTGAGTTGGATGGAACCCATCAGGACCATCAAATCCAACTCCTGGCCCTGCACAGGATATCTCAAGAACCCCACCATGTGTCCAGGAGCATTGTCAAAGTCCTTCTTGAACTCCTTCAGGTGCTGTGACCACTTCCCTGGGGTGCCTGTTCCAGTGTCCAAACACCCTCTGGGTAAAGAAACTTTTCCTAATACCCAACCTAAACCTCCCCGACACAACTCCAGGCCATTTCCTTGGGTCCTGTCACTGGTCACCAGAGAGAAGAGATGAGTGCCTGCCCCTCCTTTTCCTCTCATGAGGATATTGAAGACCTCAATGAAGCCTCCCTTCCATCTCCTCCAGGCTGAAGAGACCAAGTGACCTCAGCCACTCCTGATACAGCTTCTCCTCCAGACCCTTCACCATCCTCTTGGCCTCCTTTGGATGCTTCATGTCTTTTTTAGATTGTGGTGCCCAAAACTGTACACAAAAATGTAAATATTAGAAGTCATAATATTAGTATCATAAATATTAGTATAATAGAATAACTTTCAGAAAGCTTCATTTTATTAATTTAGTCCATTTTCCTGTATATCACAGGCTTCAGATTTCACTGTTTCACTGTTATCTTTCCACTGAGCCCAAAGTAGGCAAATCCTAACCCTTCCCTAAGTTCCAAGGTCAGTTCTTGTCAAGGATGTATTTTCTTACGAGTGCAGAATCAGCATGTTTCTTCACCATCCTTGATGGTGTGCTCTGAGGACAAAGTAAGGAGCACGAGTCTCAGGGGGATAAATGGAATTAATTTCTGTTAAAAAAAAGAACACTTGAAAAAAGGGAAAATAGAAAGAAACAAGGCTTTCTTTCCTTCATCAGAGCATGTATAGAATCAGAGGGATTCAGCCTCTTCAGACTGATTTCCAGAAACAGATGACAGAAGCTGTCTTTATATCATTTGGGGTTCAGAATGGAGACTAAATTCACAAGGCTTCTGGAACACACTGCTCTCAAATCAATTGCACTATGAAAGTCAATACAATGAACTATTTGGTGTAGTTCCTGTTCTTCTTCTTTCAAATGCTTAAGGGATCCCTCTCTCATGCTGTTCTTACAAAGGGAAAGATCCTTTTGCAATGAGATAACCTTTTGTCTGTAACACATCTTCCAAAAAATCACGGTGGACGTGTTTTCTTTGAGAAGGGGAATTCATCTGGACTTTGAACCTAAGCTTCTCTCCTAGCAAAGGAGCTGAGAGAGTTCATGATCACTTGTCATTTGTGTGAGTAGAAGTCCATGCTAAAGCTGATTTTTTAATGATAATGTCAGAACAAGTACTTACTTGGACACCAGAACCAAAATGCAATCAGTAATGTGCATTATTAACAAGGTGCTAAGATAGTATATATTTAAATGCAAGTAGATGTATATATTTAAATACTCTTTCATGTATAATTTTATAAATGTTTCCATTCAGATAATTTGGTTTAACTTGCCTTATGTCTCTGTTCCTTGCTGAGTGAAGAGTGTTAAAATATAACAGAGTAAATGTCACAAGAGAAAATTTATGCAGACGCTATCAATTTTCTATTTTTGAAAGATTATTTAAATGCTTGAAAGCAAAAGTGTCAACTTTTATGAGAATTCTGTTTTGTCTATTTTTGTTTTAGGCTAAAGAAGTAATCCTGGCTAAGCAAAAAGTTTCAGCTTCAATTAAACATTCTGACTGCAATACACAGCAAAAAAACACGAGAAGGTAATCCCTTTTTATCTTCTGCTTCAGCTTTATTTTTATAGTGTGTTATTCACATGCCAGAATATGTACTTCTTTTATGTGATTGTTGAAAATATGAAAATATGAAAATATTGATTAGTGTAGAGCAAAAGTATGTCTAAAAGCTTTTAATAACCTATCTGGTGCTGTTTATTAAAAAGTGATCTCCTTCAATAGCAGAGCCAAAAAACCACTTTATTTTTGCCTATCAGTTTCTTTCCTTCAGCTCATTCATTGGTAACTGGTATGCACTAAAAAAACCTGGTATACGCTAAAACAAAATCACCTGCTGAGAATGGCCTTCGCAGAGCTCCTTGCTATGGAACCCTAGTCCTGAAACCTTTTAGAAAGCAATTATTTTGAATCTCTCTCATGAATGTATTTTTTCACTGTCATACAGGTTGATCTACTGCTCTAGTAAATAGGTTCAAAAAACAATTCTGCAAGGTTTTGTAACAGATCCATCCTATTATTTTTGACACCAACTCCAGCCCTTGAAATCTTGTAATTAATGATTGCCCAAGGCAGGTGAATATCAGTGATGCACTATTTTCTGTTTTTACCCTTGGCAAGTACTTTTGTAGATAGACAGTAAGGTTCATGGACTAAGTACAAGTACCATGATACTTATTTTAATCTGTGCTTTTCCTTTTGTTATAGCCAATGGTATTCATACCAGAATAAGATAGTGTAATAGCAAAGTTCCATAAGCTGTTTATCTGTTTATATTTGAAGTGTTGCACTTGTTTCCTTGTTTGATTTCATTGTGTCGAATCCTGTTAAAAAGGCTAAACAGTTAGTAAAAAATGGCATTTTGGATTGTGACTGTTCTTTGTCTCAGTACTTAGGACACTGGCAAAATAGTTCTGCAAGAGTCAGTTGTAATTAATTCTACTTCTTATTTCTTATTTCTAATAAAAATCAAGCATTAACTTCTTGTCTTGATGATCTGCCTTAGGAGATGATAGGACACCTGCAAGAATTTCTTGAAATTACTAGTGAGCCCCGAGGACTGTACCCTTTCCTTAAGCAGCAGTCATTACAACAGTACATCACTGAGTATGTAAAATATTTTTAGAAGGTCCGGGTCAAATGGAGGATAATTACTGTCCATTATACCTGGGAAGTCATGGAAATCAGGTGAAGTCCCTGGTGACTGGAAAAATGGAAATACTGCACCCATTTTTAAAAAGAGTAGAAAGAAGGCTGCTGGGAACTTGTGACCCATCAGCCTCACCTTTGGGTTCCTGCTCTGCCTGGGAATCATGGAACAGATCCTCCTAGAAGCTATGTTCAGGCACCTGGAGGACAGAGGGGTTATTCAGGACTGCCAGAACAGCTCCACCAAGTGCAAGGCCAACCTAGTGACATTCTGTGATCAAATGACAGTATCAGTGAAAGCTACAGCTGTCATCTCTCTGGACTTCTGTAAGGCCTTTTTCATGGCCCCCCCACAACATCCTTCTCTCTGACTTGGTAAGAAATGGATTTGATGGATGGACTGGGTCAGGATTTGGTGGATCAGGAATTGGTAGGATGGTTGTGTCCAGAGGGGAGTAGACAATGACTCAATCTGTGGATGGAGATCACTGACAAGTGGTGACCCTCAGGGGTCCATACTGGGACATTTTCACATCTCAGCAAGTTTGTGGGTGACTCCAAGCTGGGTAGTGCAGTTCACATGCCAGAAGGTGGGATGCCATCCAAAGGGATGTGGACAAGCTTGAGAAGTGGGTTTACATGAATATCATCAGGTTGAACAAGGTCAACTGCAAGGTGGTGTACGTGGGTTAGGACAGCCCCTGGTATAAATAAAGGCTGAAAAAAGAAAGGATTGAGAGTGGCCCTGAAAAGAACTTGGGAATATTTTGGTGAATGAAAAACTGGACATGAGAAGGCAGTGTACACTTGCAGGCCAGAAAGCCAGCCATGTCCTGGGTGGCATCAAAAGCATCCTGGACACCAGGTTGAGGGAGGGGATTCTCCCTCTCTGCTCTGCTCTGATGCAGAACCCACCTGGAGTTCTGCATCCAGCTCTGGGAGCCTTACTACAGGAAAGATATGGATCTGCTGGAGCCAGTCTAGAGGAAGGCCACAAAAATTATCAGAGGGCTGGAGCACCTCTCCTATGAGGAAAGGCTGAGAGAGTTTGGATTCTTCAGTCTGAAAAAGATAAGGCTTCAGGGAGACCTTCTGACAGCCTTTCATTCTAAAAAGAATCTTGTAAAAAAGATGGGGACAGATTTCAAGGCATTATTGTTTTAAAGTAAGAGAGGGGAAATAAATAAGAAAGAATTTTTGTGTTATGAGAGCGGTGAAACACTGTCACCATTTGCCCAGAGAGGTGATGGATGCCCCATCCCTATAATCATTCAAGGTCAGGTTGAATGGGGCTCTGAGAAACCTAATTTAACTGAGGATGTAGCTTGCTCATTGCAGAGGGATTGGACTGGATAACCTGTAAATTTCCTTTCCAACCCAAACCATTCTGTGAGTCTATTCTATGATTCTTTACAAGAGGAATAGTGCTTTTCCACTGAAGTGCAGCTAAATCTTTAAATGCATTACAATAAATAAGTTAATAAAACAACTTGTGGATTAGGAAAATACATTTCCTTAGAACTCTCTGTTTGCCTTTAGTTTTGTCAGCATAGTAAATGTTTAAATAATAATAGGAGCATGGAAGTAATAATGTGAATTTATGCCCTTTCCTGCCAGCTGATAAACTAAAGATATTCTGTGGCATAGTGAAACTCCAAGTATTGTGTTTGATTTCTATGGAGTTTTATGTAATTATGAATCTGCTTCCTGCAGATTTTGAGGGCTAAAATATTACAGAAATATATACCACAAAAGTAGAAGTAGGAAGTCTTTGAATTACAATTCTTCCTAAAAATAGTGTTTTGACCTCTTTACCCGAAAAGTTGCTGACTAGCCAGCTGTTAAAAATTTGCTGAATAGTTGTCTCTTAGATTACAGAAGAACATTCATTACATTGATTATACTTGACAGCTACAGATGTCTTAGCTAAATGCTGTCAGACATATAATCTGCCAAACTGTAATGCAGAGCTTTAAATCTCTTTAACTCGTGTTAGCTAGATTACATGATGATACTGTCATTACTTCTGCCATGTATGAGAAACTTCTCTGACTATATGTGAATCTGTATTTGGAGCATTCAAAGAGGCAAGTTTCTGTGGAAGGAATTTGACAGACTGATCTATTATATTTACAAAGCCTCTATTAATGCAGTAGCTGAGTGTTCCATTCCTTACTGGAACTGGCCTCACAGTTCATCTGTAAGATACCAAAGCTGAGTTCTCTACAGCTGTGTAGAGGAAATTCAGAGGACTTCTCTGAAGTTTTACTGGAAATCTTCAGAGTAACAGTTACATAAAGTCAACAGTCATTTTCTCATACCTTCAGCTTTAGACTATTCTTCCTTTAGTAGTTGGAGAAGAAAAAAATTAAATAAAACTGAAAATGTCTCTAAATGTAAATATATACACATTTGAATTCCTCTAGTAATGAAATATTCATATGAATAAAACCTTTTTCATTCATTTTTGAGTTTTCTTCTTTTGCTTTTGTTTTGTTGTTTGTTACTATAGATCTTTATATACAGAGAGGCTAATAAATATAGCCAGAGAATGGTTTAATTTCAAGATGCAAAGTGAGTGGCAATTTCTGCAGAACTAAAAACTAATCAGCAAGTTCTGATCTATACACATATTTTATATTGAAGTAAGGAATATAAAGTAGAGGTGATTTCTATCTTTGTAGTTCAGGCATTGCAAATCTGACTGCCCTAAGTATCTTTTCCCCTCTTAGCTATTCAGGATTGCACTGGGTGACCAAGCCAGCACATGCTCTAGAGAACACCATGAAATATATTAGGTTGGAAATCTGACTTACATTCTACTGGAATCCGTTCTTAGTGACAGTAAATATTGTTTGGGGTTTGGCAATTTTTTGGTTTTGTTTCAGTTTGGTTTAGTTTTGTTTTTTTTAATCTGGATTTTTAAGGAGAAAAAATAAAGAAAAATATGCTGATGGATTGTCCACCTTTATCTGCTGGTTAACCCATAAATGCCTTCAAACAGGTTATCCAGTTTCAACCATTTTTCACTAATTCACTAATAATTCACTAATAATATGTAAGAGACATAAAATACATAAAATTACCTGTAATTTATATTGAACTTGAGACTGAGAAAACTTGAATGTTTTTAATCACTGTATTGGATCACTATTTTTCTAGCAAACAAGTCATGATAAGACTCATTAACAGAACTTCTTTTATGGTTTGAAGTTTCAGAGATAAGAAACCTTTAATTTACTTTTCTTGGATAACTCTTTGGTTATAGTTGAGCTTTTCTTTGTTTATTAACTAATAAAGAATAAAAGACTGATGATTTCAAAAATTCTCTATGGCTATCTCACTTGAGATGTAAGTGTTGCTGAAGATGAAACATACTGCAAAGCTCTGTTTTACTGGATGACCCTGATTTAGTTCATTTTGGTGGAGAAGAGGCTAAGAACAAATCCGTGTGAAAAAATGGTAGATGTAAAAGTAAGAATCTTTCTTTGGGAGTGAGAAGTTCTAATTTGAATTCTAGAAGCAGTCTTTGTAAAGTGTCAGAATACTGCCTTTCCACAGACTGAATGGCTGAAAAATCTCTCCCAGTCTTAAATTCCTACAGCTTACACAGAGGGATGTGATGAGTTGGAAGGGAGAGAACTCTGTGTTGTGAAGAGAAATACAGTAGAACAAAATGAGTCATTTCTTCAGGACTAGGAAGGGGAGGTAAGATGAGGTCAGAAACGGAATGGTGTTGCAAATTGATCTGAAAGAACTTTAGGAGGATTTATGTGATCTTTCAGAATGCAAATTCTCAGTGTCTAAACCAAGCACAAACATTTCAATGTGAAGAAAGCCAAGTGCATCTGAAGAGTGGCCTGACTGACAGATGAGTAAAT